ACTCCCGCTCCCGTAAGGCATGTACACTTGCGTCAACATTCATCTTTTGAAGCTCAGTTAACCCCTTCACTTTTTATGTCGGATTTAGCCAGAACCTCCTTCATCTGAAGGGACCCTGCTTCCCCTATCGCACTAGTGTCAATAGCTGCTGCGTAAATAAAACGAATAATATTGCAATATTTAAGTACTCTAGCAAAAATCATTCCATTCTTTGTCTCAAACGCTTTGAACGTCTCGTGTTGGTCGCAAGAACTGTCTTTGCTGATTATGAATAGTTTGTGGTAATTGTGCAGAGATCTTCCGCTCTTGCGGCCGGCTAAAATACAGTCTGAGCCTGTTCACGTAAATCGTTTCTATGGTGTTGTTGAACAGACTCTCTATGATAAGGACGACAAATGGGGTGGTAGTACTCTACCCTACTTGCCGGCAGGTCTTCCCTCAACCCGCCGAGATCTTGGCCTGATGAAAACCGCCTCGCTCTCTCTAGGTTCCCCAAAGCAATCAGTCTGGCACTCCAGGTCTGATCGCCCAGCTCGGAGTTAGATACCAGACGGAGGTCGAAAAAATCCAAAAAATCTGACAACTTCAAACTTTGAATTTAAAATTTTAACCTGTCGGCAACCTTCTGAGCTATTTTGTTAAGGTTCCTGCCACGATCTCGCCCTCAAGCTGCCCGCCTCGCCCTCGTGTCAGAAAAGCATGGAAAATGATCGCTTACTGAGGACTGCAACCTGCCGACATCTCGTCGTGCTGACCATGTCATATGCAGGGTCGAGTCGAGCAAGAGATGTGGCATACAATTGCCGAAGAAGACCCCCTCTAACTTCTGTCTCAGTACTCCCCCTCCCCTGTCAATACCAGTATTATCGTTAGTTTTCCGTAAACATGACATGAACAGAAGTTGCATGCATAATTAGCAACATATTCGTAATTAGTCAGATAACCCCCATGGGCCAAGTTTTAGCAAAATCTGATGGTTCCCGATATTAAGTCACCCAAGTGAAATGGTCATTTTCAAGCATGATTAACCGTCCGTCAAAAGTGAATTACTTACTCATTTTGTACATATTACAAAGCACTACTTCCTGTTTACTCACGCCATGAATCCTGCTTTGAATTACCGTCAAACTACGGAATCAAAAGTAGGCCAAAATCTCTTTGTCCTATTTTTCGCTTTCAATAACTGCGCTTTCACCGGCTTGCTTAGAGCGAAGAAGACGAATTAGGCCCAAATGACTCCCATGAAAACGAGATTCAGGCTATCAAACTATACATCCAATGTTCGCCAAAAAAAATTTTTGGAGGTAAGTTAATGGAGTGTGGTACAACCTCAGGAAAGCTGTGACGCCACACTTTTTCAGGCGTTGTGCCACACCCCCATTGACTTACCTTCAAAGCATTCAAGTCTCTACCTTCACATGGTTGCTACTTTGAGCACAAGCTGGGATCAGGGGGGTTTTGGAACAAAATTCTCGTTTGATCTCGCAGAAATTTCACGAAGCCTTTTTTCTGGATCACCTCGCCTCTTTTAGAGTGACTACTATCATAGACCGAATAGATGAGACATTTTGCGCTGATTTGCTTAGGGGAGCGCTAAGCGCTCGGAGCAGTATAGCGCTGTTATTGATAATTTTGTAAAAGTTATAAAGTTCGAAAAAAGAATGAACAAAGTGCAAATACAATCTACCAACTGGACCCGTAATGAACCCCCCCCCCCCTCTTATCGTGACGGCGCGCTTGGAATGTAGCTCATGCCCGTCTCATACCTTTTCGCAGCCGCCCCCTGTGATAGGAATTGTGACCTAGGCGTATGCGCGGCGTAACGTTCTGGCGACACTTCCGGCGCGATTTAATCACGAGCGTCTACCTCGCAATGTTCGCCCCGTTTTGCAGCTACAGTACATCGTATCGTGTTGAGAACTCATGTCTGCGTTCTCTTCATTCTCCTCAGTTTTTGTTAGTGAAATGCCAGCGCCACGCAAAGCCTCCAGCAATGCGGTCCATGAGAAATGTACTCTGGACTCTGGTTTGAAACAGACTGTAGAACATGTCTCAGGGACAAACGATAGAAATTTTCAATTCGAACTTTAGACTGACGCCAGAATTTTGACGAAAGTCAGGCTGATAGCAGCTTATCCTTGGTTTTTGAGTTTTGCCCCACTTTGTGAAATATGAGGCAAGCTGTCAGTCTTCAGGTTATGATACATTACTAACGCTACGCTACGGCATTGAGCCAAGCACAAATGCTTGTAGTTAGGCGATCGCTTTGCTGCCAGTTAAATAACCATTGCACATTATGACAAAAATGAATTTGATTCTAAACGTCTCGCTAGGGATGAGAGCACTTCCTTGTTTGAGTCGCTAAAGTGTTTCTACTGGCATTCGACTGGTGCTATTTATGAATGGTGTGGATTTTTGAAGCCAAAGCCCGGCGCTTGGGAAGAAAGAAGTCCTCTTCCGGGTTCACCATGTTTTACAATGAGAAATCGATGATGAAGACTGAGAGATATGGAGCCTGCGGCTTCGCAATCCAGTAAAACTGCGTTACTGCTGAAACTTTCTGAGGCTTTGAAAAACAGCGAGGAAGGAGTACGCAATTGTGGTATTTGTTGTAGCTTTCAATATGCATATCAGAGTCATGTACAAAAAGCTGTAAATTGTACGAGCAAGAGTCGGTGCAGTTAACACTCTGCTGGAAAGGTTCCATGATGGGTTTCGTTCACATACGTTTTCATAAAGTCTTCAGCCACAGCTGGACGTTCCTTATGCAGGTGTGTTTGTTGTTAAGAATTCATGTGTATGTTTGAGCCACAATAAATTCCAGCACTATGCATGATCACTTTAGATCACGTAATAATTGATGATCCTCTCTGATTGCCGTGGTGAGAACGTTTGGGAATAGATCGGATCTTTGCTTTATATCCCGCAAAGACGATGCCCCTTTTGCTTTTTCCAAGAAATCGAAATCAATCTTGCCTCTATGTCAACTTGCTCAGTCCTGTCTAAGATCAACAGAATTCTTTAGCCAATGCGCATCGATGGCAAAGCAGAACATTCCTCTTGGTGAACATCTTTTCAACTTTGTGACTATTCTATCAAATGCTTTCCTTCCATTCTATGGTGATTCAGTTTGAGATTTTGGAGTTTTTTTTTGTAGATGCAGAATTCGCAATGTGAATCTGATACTTTATGGTGCTCTAGTAGCTTCTATAAAATTTACTACTAGCTGGCAAAACGGCTCTGTCAGGTCCTGTTGAAGCTACTTTCACAATCAGCATACTCACCCTCCATGTGACAACTCCCAGCCCCGTAGTTCAAAAACATTGCAAAAAATCGATAAAAACGATCGATCGACAACGAAGATAGTTTATGACACTCGAACGCTACGAGGTGTATATGTGCCAAGTTTGTTCCGGATCGCTGCAAAAGTAAAAATTTCTTTAGAAACATAGTACGGACAGATACACGTACACACAAACAGATATTCAGCTTTATATATAAGATATGAATGATACGCACAGGTTTTCTTACTGACAAGGGAGGTGTTTTCGGTCGAAGTGGCCTTTTCACATGAAAATGATACGACTATGAAGAGCATTAAACGCTGATTCCAAATCGGTCTTCGTTATCTGCCGAGCGCCTCTAGACGTTCAGTTATGGATATTTTCTTGGTGCAAAAAATGAACGCATAATTTAAGTAAAATAAAATTTTACGGTCTTCTCAGCGCACAAATAGAGCAGTGTTAAGTATGAGTGCTTTGGATAAAAGGTATCGTTCAAATAAAGAGCTTTGATAATCAACATTGGACCGTTTGAGCAATTCTGACGAATATTGTAATTATGCATTTAATTTCTCAACTCAAAAAACGCTCATAACTAGACGTCTAGAGGCGCTCGGCAGATAACGAAGGCAGAACATTAGGGCGCAGAACTAATCGTCGTTCGGATGCGCTACTGCAAACGATGCTTTATTTGATACAATAGCACTGTGTTAGGAAACGCATAGAACAAATGAGTGAAGGTTGTAGTGATCAGGTCAGGAAGTTACGCTTAGCCATGTAATCACCCACCAGGGAAAAATATCGACTTGCAATGGCGTTTAGCGAGAAAATGTACATCATTGTAATCTTCTCGGGACACTGATAAGATATATGTTTTCCAAATCCGCGAAATGGCAATGTGAAAGAAATTACGAACCTCTATATCCATATGTATTGCTCTGTCTACGACCAAATCGAATACGAGCAAAGGTGCATCAATGATAAAAACGATGAAAGTGCAGTTAGAGCAGTTGGCTTTCAGCTAAAAAGTACTATGTAGATCCAACTCCCGTGGATGACCGTCGCTTTTGCGTTTTCTGCTACTTTCTAGAAGCAATCTTAAATAAGAAACGTTGATAGTTTTACTTATGTCTGCGTTTTGAAAAACGTTTCTGTCGTAGTACTAATGCTTCACTCGTATTCGCCTGTATAAACAGAATGTTAAAACCTGCGGTCCGCAACTTCTTTCACAGAAACGTTTCGCAGATTTGGAAAACGTTATCAGCGTCCCGAAAGGACCATAATGATGTACATCTTGTATCAGCGTCCCGAGAGGACCATAATGATGTACATCTTGTATCAGCCGCCCGAAAGGACCATATGATGTACCATCTTGCTAGACGCCAATACGACTCACTGTCAGTATCCTTCATTTGACAGCAAAGTGGTAGTCAGCTTTGATGTTTTTTAACTTTAGAATTTGTTTTAGAATTTGCAGGAAATGCATTCAGCATCACACTTCGAATGTAGTATTTTGTTTTCGTATTCCAGCTTTTGTTACGCCACACGACTATGTGTGGAAAATTTCCGCAAGGATTGTGATTCACTGCCATCTACGAATCATCTTTCATCGGAAAGCAATGAATCGCCTGCGTGTGCTCTAAAACATCGGCCGCGAACTTGCTGCAGCTACTCGGCGCTTCGTTCCTCAAACTTCTTAAAACTAAACTCAAAGAAAAGATGGACAGCCAGCAAGCTACCTTTTCCACGTTCACCTCCAAAGGTAAGATTAGTCTGAAATCTACATGTTCTCTTTGTAAACGGTTTCTGTAGAAGATTGGAAACAAAAATGCCAAATTTTCCTGTTGATTAATCGATGACACACGCGTACTAAGTTTCTAAAAAAACAAACAATGAAGTCGGAATCCACTAATGTCAAAATCTACAAGCATAATGTTATTCTTCCTCCCCTCTCCCCCTTTCAATTTGAAAGAAAAACATAAGAAGTGTACTTCAGTATCCCCTTGCGACAAGGCGATACCCGAGAGTGCATGGCAAGAAGAAGAATCTCTTGAAGTGTACAGAAAGAAAAGGACACAAAGGTTAGACATTTGTTGCGCATAGACTGTTCAAACTGAATGTTGTACTGCTTTTAGGCCACCAAGCGCTACACCTACCGAAATCGTAAAATGCATCAAACGTCAACCAAAGCAAGTTTTATTGACTATTTTGCCTACGGTAACATAATATAAAAATTGTTGAATATCAACAATGGCTTGAAGCTTTGCAGCATATCAGCTGATTTCTCATCTTATTGATCAAAGTGTGAAGAATGTGATCGGTTAGTTACAGCGTTCCAGCGAAAAGAATTAGCTGTAATTTGAAGTACTAATGATTTATTGGTACTACAATAATGCCTCGTAGACATAAAGATGTCTCATACGGCAAATTCTGATTTTTAAATTCTGGCAAAATGCAAGCAATCAAAGACTGCATTACGATAGCGGTGCTTTGTTCGCAAAATATCTCTTGCGATACTTTCACTTTTCTCTGCACAAATTTTCGAACAAACGAAAATGAGGAGCTCTTGCACGGATATTCTTCTCATTTCAAAATTTTTGCCTGTTATCGATTCATATACAATACCGCTCACATTTTTTGCAAAATAGACGCGAATGTATGGACATGTCCATACATCAGCGTCGCGTGGCCATATCTCTCTTCAGAGTGGACGAATTCTGAATCCAAAGCCACCATTCCATTCAGCTCGGCGCGGAGAATCCTCTGATATGTTGGAAGTGGGGGTACGATGTCTTCGATATTCCGTTTCCAGTTTTTTTAATTTGTTCTGCGGAGGTCCCTTCGCGAATATGTGGAACAATGCCTACCCAACATAGAAGACTTTACTGAGTACTAATCGATAATACTGTTCTTGTAGATTATTGTGCGCTAAAAATAGGCATCTTCTTTCCGAAGGAGATAGAAGCGTTAGTGAATTTTGGAAAAATCACGCGTTTCTAAATTCTACTCGCCATAACTTCCTTCGGAGTAAGTATATTTTGAATCCGAAAGCAGCGCCTTGCTCAGCTCATCAAGGCGAATCTTCCCATATACAGCATGTCCTTGGTATTTCGATTTCAGTATTCCTGAATCTTTCTGAGGATGTCTTTTCGCGAAGGTGTAAAGCAGCGAGCATTGTCCCGAGTACATTCCAGCAAGGATCTTTCGATAGCACTTTTTCTGTAGATTATGATGTGCTGAATAGCAGCCGCAGGTTTTTTTTCAAAGGAAATAGAACGGCTGGTAAATTGTGGAAAAATCCTGTCGTCTTAAATACTACTCGCCATAGCCGCAAGATACGAAGCTATCTTGCTAAGCAGATGTGAGTTTCGAAATCAGCAGGTCGGATAACCTCTGTGAGCAAGTTTTCCGATACGTTCGGGTTATTCCATTTTTTCTCGTTTTACGCTCCAGAAGCTCTCCGATGGATTTTGGTCAAAATGTTGATGCTCTTGAATTGTAAGGAAACTTCGCTGATAGAGGTTTTCGAATATGCTCTTTACGAAAATCGTGGTCTTTGAGGATTACAGGATCTTTTTGGAGAGATACGGTAAGGTGACTGTAGCTTCGTCACAAAAGTGCGTAACTTTGGCCGCATATCTGTATCTATATATCTATCTATCATATCTCGCGTATCTGTCAGAGACCTTGCCTGCTTGCTTTTCTCAGTCAAAGTTACTAGGAACTGTGCTATCGAATGTTGCATTAGCCAGGCTCCAGTCTGTGAAATTCGCCGAGTTACGAGCCTACGAAAACACGTCCTCATGAATTTTGCCCCAAATGTAAAGATCGCATATCTCGTCGAAATTCCTCCGTGAGCGCTTGTATGACGCTCGTTGCAGATATTATGTTCGCCTCGTCGAACGATTCCCACTGTACTGAATATGGTGCTTGCGTCTGCTTCAGCTGCTCAATTGAATATCAAAGCTATTTCGTGGCTAGAGCTCAAAGCACCAAATCCAACACAATAAGATCCATTGGAAATGTGGAAGGATTTGATCAGCGCGTTATACAAGCGCTCACGAAGGAATTTCTACGAGATATGCGATCTTTACATTTTGGGCAAAATTCATGAGGACGTGTTTTCGTAGGCTCGTAACTCGGCGAATTTCACAGACTGGAGCCTGGCTAATGCAACATTCGATAGCACAGTTCCTAGTAAAAGAGCAAGCAGGCAAGGTCTCTGACAGATACGCGAGAAGTGCGGCCAAAGTTACGCACTTTCGTGACGAAGCTACAGTCACCTCACCGTATTTCTCCAAAAAGGCCCTGTAATCCTCAAAGACCACGATTTTCGTAAAGAGCATATTCGAAAACCTCTATAAGCGAAGTTTCCTTACAATTCAAGAGCATCAACATTTTGACCAAAATCCATCGGAGAGCTTCTGGAGCGTAAAACGAGAAAAAATGGAATAACCCGAACGTATCGGAAAACTTGTTCACAGAGGTTATCCGACCTGCTGATTTCGAAACTCACATCTGCTTAGCAAGATAGCTTCGTATCTTGCGGCTATGGCGAGTAGTATTTAAGACGACAGGATTTTTCCACAATTCACCAGCCGTTCTATTTCCTTTGAAAAAAAAAACCTGCGGCTGCTATTCAGCACATCATAATCTACAGAAAAAGTGCTATCGAAAGATCCTTGCTGGAATGTACTCGGGACAATGCTCGCTGCTTTACACCTTCGCGAAAAGGCATCCTCAGAAAGATTCAAGAATACTGAAATCGAAATACCAAGGACATGCTGTATATGGGAAGATTCGCCTTGATGAGCTGAGCAAGGCGCTGCTTTCGGATTCAAAATATACTTACTCCGAAGGAAGTTATGGCGAGTAGAATTTAGAAACGCGTGATTTTTCCAAAATTCACTAACGCTTCTATCTCCTTCGGAAAGAAGATGCCTATTTTTAGCGCACAATAATCTACAAGAACAGTATTATCGAATAGTACTCAGTAAAGTCTTCTATGTTGGGTAGGCATTGTTCCACATATTCGCGAAGGGACCTCCGCAGAACAAATTAAAAAACTGGAAACGGAATATCGAAGATATCGTACCCCTACTTCCAACATATCAGAAGATTCTCCGCGCCGAGCTGAATCGAATGGTGGCTTTGGATTCAGAATTCGTCCACTATGAAGAGAGATATGGCCACGCGACGCTGATGTATGGACATGTCCATACATGTATGGATATGTACGGACATGTACGGACATATGGACATGTCCGTACATGTCCATACATTCGCGTCTATTTTTCAAAAAATGTGAGCGGTATTGTACCATAGTTCTTCCGACTATAAAAGAATAGCGAGAAAGGCGATTGTGAAAAGCCAAATAAATACCTTGTTGTTTCCAGGTTAAAGCAAACAAACCTACTGTTAAATTCTTAGGCAATTCCCAAAAAAGTTGGTTCACATAAGTTTTTTAGGGCAGGCGAGGAAATCTACGAAAGTGTACAACCACGTCACGATGGTCGACGTGAGCTTATTCTCCTGGAACCAGTGCGATTTGGTGATGAACCTCCAGAAACCCTTTACGACGACTATTCTTTATATAGAATGGAGGAATACGTTGATGCCGGCACGGTGGGATCATTAAAACATTTTTGTCAAGAAGCTATGTGTATTATCCAGGAGACTTGTGAGCATGACAAGCAACCTGTATACTATGCTTTACAAAAAGTCGAGAAGGTAAGACCAAACTGAAATTATTAGGAAAAAAATTAGGCAGGAAACAGTTTTAGGAAACACTTCCACCCGCACAAACAGGGAAAATTGTTGAAGAAGAAGTCATATCCCCGGCGAAAGAGCTTGATACAATCACCTTAAGAGAAGCAGAGGAGCGAGAATCGATGGAAAGGATAAGTGCAAAGCAAGAACTAAGGTAAATCACCTCCTGCCATCAAATGCAGAAGGTCCAGGCCGATTTCGGTCCCGGGTAAAAATGTGAAAACTTTATGAAGGCTCAACAAAGCCACTGTCTAAAACCACGCTTATGTGATTCTGGTGGCCAAGACTTTTAGTTCTGTTTCCCGCAAGATGCCATCGAAATCGAGGACATTGTTTGTCACTTGAAATAAAGTACGGTCTGTTTTGGAGTTCGGAGTCATCTGGATCACTATTGAAATCCATAAGCTGTCTTTAGGCAATTGCTTAGCTAAGACCTCCTATTATTCGTCAAAGGCCCAGGCAATTCGTTTGTTTGATCTAGAATCACATATTAACAATGTTCAGAACGGCTCCACCACCATCAGAATCCACTGAACGTGGCCCATACATCTCTAGGATTCCTATTGGTGATGGTATAGAAGAGCGTTCTATTACGCACAGTTCAGAAACGGAAAGGTATGAAAGAAGTCACATCACTGAAGAGCAGCGCTCTGTTGTTCGTGGCTCCGAAGCTGGAAGATCAGCGAGACCATGCTCTCGATGTGCTGAGTTGTCCCCAGAAACAACTAGAGAGACCCCAATCCTAGACCGCATCATGTATTACGAAAGAGAAGTTGTGGAGGATGGTAACTCAAGGGGCAGAGCTCAGGATAGCCGTCGCGATAGTCGTGCTTCTTCTCGTCAAGCAGCGGTTGTTGACGACGAAATCGCAGACGCGAATAGGAGAGTGGATGGAGTATTTCGAAGCTATGAAACATCTAAGGAAGCTCGCAAGCTGCCAACTGTACCGGAGGAAGATTTTCATGAAAAACAGAATGAGAGACTTCCTGCCGAAGGATACAAGGAAACGCGTAAAGAAGGTCCTCCACAAGAAGAGTACGTGGTCCCAAGGATTCGAGCCCCCTCTAGAACATCTAGTCGTTCTTCAACGGAAAGGACTCAGTTCTACGAGAAAAGTGTACATGGTAATGACGTGACCGGCTTGCTCATGTTACACAACAAATAAACAATGTTTGAGGTTCACCGTATCGTCCCACATCAACTACCCGTAGTGCAGCTAGTCCATACTATTGTCCTCACTGGTGAGTGATTCTTTTTGAAGAAATGCTGAGCAAAAAAGAATGCCAAAGTGAATATCTACTGTGTACACAGTCTAATTAGTAAAACTGGTGTAATTTGGCATTGTAAGATTTTGGTATATACAGGGTGTCCCAAAAAAATGTGCCTACTGTTTGATTGTTAATAACTCTCTTCTAATGAAGTCTTTCAAGAAGCTTTGAGTACCATTTTGTAGAACTGGCTTCAACTTAGATTTACAGTATGGAGCGAATCGCCGATCGTTTTTCCTTACTGTAGGATTACGGTAGAAACTTCAAGCATATGGTGTCACTATGAAAAAAGCTGCCGTTTCAAAAATTTTCAAAGAATTGTGAAATATTGTGTATTGGGGTTTCCATGGACGCTGAGTTCAATACTCAACTATGTACAAGATTGCGAAGCTTTCTAAACGGTGTAACCGCAATTTTTGGAAACATAGGAAAAACGGCCGGTATGGCTTACCTCGCATAACTTTAAAGAAACACTATGATAAGTTTCGAACTTCACACTTAGAATCAGCAATTCTAACTAGCCCAGCGTAAAAGTTTTAAAGTCGTTTTGTTTGCTTTCTGAGGCAAAATATGGCCTTTCATGGCTTAAAACCCTCTCCAAAGTTCCTACCGTATTTCTATAGTAATGAAGGGCAATCGGCCACACGCTCCATACTGTAAATCTAAGTTGAAGCCAGCTCTACAAAATGGCACCTAAAGCTTCTCGAAAGACTTCATCACAAATGAGTTATTGACAATCAAACAGTAGGCACATTTTTTGGGACACCCTGTATACTTGAACCGTAACGCTGAAATCTGTATCCATTCCTCCTGTTCCTCTATGCAGCAACAAGCTTGTATAACTAAGGCTCGTATGCATGGAAATCCATGCGGCGAGGGGTTGTTTATACTTGTGAATAATTAGGGCGTGAAAAAATTAGGTGCGGGCGTGGCTGCCTCCATGCCCTTTTCCTCAAATTTCGGGGTGTTGCAGCAAAAATTCTGGGAAGCATCCCAAAAAAGGCGCGTGGCTAACGCCACGCATCTTTATTTAAAAAAATTTGTTGACACCTCCCCTCCCCGCCTCCTAACGAAATTCTGGCCACCGTAAGCGGAATATCTATTCGAATGTACAAGCCTTAGCTGTATTTAATTTCAGCAGAACATGCTCAAGAGAACAGGATAGAATGTACACTCATGAACCTCACACAGTTCGAGTTGTACCAATCCAAAAGGAAAGATATCCTTTGGTCAGTTAGGTAGAGAAAAGCTTTATTCGAAAGTAATTTTTGACTATTGCAGAGAACACGTCATGATAACGGAAGAGAACCACTAATGTACTCAGCACCTATTCATGAGACCATCACCACCGAAAGATTCGAGAGAATTGAAAAAGTAAAACGCGTTTTTCCAGCAACTGCTGTGTGATTAATAGGCATTATCAGGAATCAATTCTTAGGTTGTAGTTGGATTTTCCATTTCAATAAAGCACTGCTCTTTATTTCTCGATAAATCAGAAGATTTACAAAGCGCGCAAAATTTTAATACAAGACTAAAAGCAAATAGCTTTGACACCAAACTTGGTATACAAGCTGTCCCAAAAAAATGTGAACACTGTTGATCGTTAATAACTCTCTTCCTTTCATGTCTTGCTGCGCTTGAAATAGCGTTCTGTAAAGCGAAGTCCAACTTGGATTTGAAATATGGAGCAAATTATTAATCACTCTTCATACTGTAGGATTACGGTATGAGCTATGAGAAGGATTCTAGGAAAAAGCGATTTTTGCCTCAGAAAAAATCAAACAAGACAGAAACTTTTTCCTGGAAAGTCGAAGTTGCTGATTCCAAATACGAAATTTGCGCTTCACTGTAATGCTTCTTTCATGAGTTATTTCAGGTTTAGGGTAACATCTCTATTTCCAATGTTCGTCGGAAGTGTGGTTACACCATTACATGAGCTCAAAAGATAGTGAAAAGTTGTGTACTGGAACCAGCACGCCTGAAAACTTACTACATAAATTTCCAGATTATTTGGAATTTTCTCCATCAAAAGGCTATTCCATAGTAGCGCTTTAAGCTGAGATTCATACCGTAATCCTGCAGTATCGAAGAGTGACTGATGAATAGATCCATACTTCAAATCTAAGTTGAACCTCGCTCTATAGAATGATACTTCAACCTCGGCGAAAAACGTGAAAGCAAGCGAGTTCTTAACGATCAAACAGTGTTCATATTTTTTGGGACAACCTGTATCTTATATATAAAGCTGAATGTCTGTTTGTATGTCTGTCTGTCTGTCTGTGTGTACGTATGTTCCGAATAGAAAATTCCATTTCTGAACCGATCCGGACCAAACTTGGCACACATACACATCGGGCCCCGGCGGGTGTCATAGGCCACTTTTCGTCATCGATCGATACCGATTTTATCGATTTTTTGCAAAATTCGAGCTACGGGGCTAGGCCCCCGTGGGGGTGATCAGCATGCTCGATTACACCCCTCTGCCAAGTTTCAGCCCCCTAGCTCTTTGCAAAAAATTGATAAAATCGACATCGATCGATAACGAAAAGTGGACTGTGACACCCGCCGGGGCCCGAAGTGTATGTGTGACAAGTTTGGTCTGGATCGGTTAAGAAATGGAGTTTTCTATTCGGAACATACGGTGGAGCCGGGTAAGCCAGCTAGTATAGAATATTATTTATGGAAGTATTATGTAAAGAATTTCAATGGGGAAGACTGGTTTGGGAAAGGTATCACGTCATATAAGCCTTTGAAACTGCACTTTTGCAATTGCACATATTTCGAGTTCACATAATTTTAAATTTTTCTACGGACTGCTTCTTTAATAAATATCTATCCTTGAGCAAAAAGACAGATCCACATCATTTACTATCCTTTGTTTTTTTTTTAACTTCAGTTTGTTCATATGACCAGATACTCCCAACTTCACCTGACATGAAACGGTTCGTGCTTGTTTTTTTTTACTTTATATGATTAGTCCTTCCAATTAAGATCAAAGGAGACCGTCGAATTATAGCAGAAAGAGGATTTCGTAGAACCTTAGAAAAGGAATCGCAACGGGTTCTACAAGCCCCTTAAACTGAAACAAGAGTTTTCGTCACATAAACACTAGTGGGAGGATTTGTCCAAACACCGGAACGCATCCGAGGGTGAAGGACTATATGGCGCCAAAAAGAGGTGGTCCGCTTTGTCGTAGAGGTTTCGCGTACATTTGCGACAAAGCGCGCAGCTCCACACACAAGGCATTTCGATTTGTACTAGCTGATCGCGCAGGAGCAGCCTATCGGCAACATATAGTCCCTACCCCATTTCCGATGACCGCGTCACCTGCAGAAAACTTGCATAATTAAAGAATTTTTATAGATTTCCGAACAAAAGCATAATTACATGTAAAAAGAGATGAAACAACACAGTATAGGTAACAAATACATATGAAACAGGAAACTTGCTGCTATGATAGATTCTCAACGGCGACTGTGCCTATCATCTACTCGAATCTCATGTAGTCGTGCTTCTGGTGAACGTGCCCGCCTGTCACCTTTGTCTTTGGTCTTCCTATCCCTTGAAGTACTACGACTTCGCCGTCGCGAGTCTCTGTCACGATCCTTGCGCGACTTCTCACCGTCTGTTCGTGACGGCGACTTATTTTCATTTCGGGAACGATCTCTCCTACTAGGCGATTTCCGCTCTTTCCTTGTTCTAGACGAAGATCTTGATCTATGACGTCGACTTGGGGACTTTCCATCTTTTCTTGTCCTGGATGTAGACCTTGACCTGCGCTTTTCTGCTCCCTTTCTTTTATCTGAGACATCTTCTCTGTCTTTTCCATTTTTCTCTCGTTCTTTCCTACTTTCACGTTTCGGTGGAGAATCAGGTGATGGTGGCTCTTCCTTTATCCGTTTATCAGCCCTATAAACACATTTTTCATAAATAACAAGAGTTTCATTCAAAAGTTTAAAAACAAAAACAGCTCGCTTACTTGTCTTTCTTCTTATTTTCTTTATCTAAGCGTGCTCGCTTCAGCTTCTTCTTCAATGCAGCGCGTTTCTTAGCATCTGTCGAATCAGCTGATGAGGATGATGATGACGATGATGATGATGAGTCTAAAACAACGCCTTTTGTTCAGAGCTGAGATTAAGCAAAATATTTCGACTCGCAAAGTCTCAGTAAAACGACGTAATTCTCACCCGAATCATCGCTATCGCTATCATCGTCATCATCACTGTCGCTAGAGTCAGAAGAAGATTCGGATGATGACGAGGATGACGTAGGTGATTCATCCAGTGAATTCTCTTTTTTCTTTTTCATACCCTTCTCGAGGAACTTTCTTAGGTCAAGTCTGAAACAATAATTTCGTAGTCAAAAGCCAAAGGTATGAAAAATTTAACAAATATTGACCACTCACGTCAATCCACCAAGACCAGTAAGAGTGAAGAAATTGATGGCAAATCTTGTGTTTTGTGGATTATCACGAGGGAACAAGCCAGCGAATGCCGTTTGTAGAGTTCTGGAAAAACAGTTTAGTCCAAATAAAGTCCCTCAACCATGCCAAAATTAACATACGGGTCGCTTATTCTTTCATAGAGTTTTGCTAGACCCATAGACTCGCAGAGCTCTTGGAAAATGTACTTGAGATAGATGCGCCCGGACGAAGTAGTGTCATTTTCTGTCAACTTAACGTCCGTGAAAATCTGAAAGTACCAACTTTGTGGAAAAACATTTGAAGGCAATATCATATTAGCAGCATCAGGTGCAAAACCGGCAAGAGATTGAGCTCTCACATTATGACGAATAATAGGTCAAATCACGATCTATGGATAGCACTCTTGTTGATGTTTTTGACCTCTGCTTTCGTACAATGCGGAAAGGTTACACAATAATTCCAATCTATATTTTCGACTAGCATTTAGCCGACTGTCACAGCATTTTCTTCTTTCAATGAACGTCAAAAAAGAAAATCATACCGTCCACGAAATAGCGTCAGTGAAGAGCAAATGCGAGATCAATCGAGCCATGTTTCTCAGTTTAGTGATATCGAATCTATGGATTGTCGCATATGTATCGCATGCAATTTTTTCGAACGTCTCCTGCAGATACAAGTATTTTATAGAAGAACAATGGAGAAAATCTGGAAAGAATTCGGATGGAAAACGTTATACGGTACCTGATACTCCTTTCGTAAACGACAGAACCGTTCACAGAGCAAACCGTAAAAGCGTTCGTATGTTCGTTGTTGACAGCAACAATCCACCAGCATGTTGCACAATTCCGTCTAAGACACTCATTTTCAAACATATAAGAAAAGAACGCGATCATTTACCTCCATCTCCGTTGGTACTTTCATTTTCAGTAGTTTATGTGCAGCTTCTTGGAAATCAAGCGATGACTGTATAGTAAGGTAGACTTCACGTCGGAACGCAACCAGATTCTGTTCCGTGTTATCAATAATCTCCGTAGTACCCGACGGCGCTGCCGCTCCTCCACCGAAAACAAAGAAATTGAGAAAAGCAGAGATTATGAATATATGCTATGTTACCTTCTTCATCGACTTCACCACCACTTCCTTCCTCGTCGTCGCTACCTTCTTCGTCGCTATCGTCAGCGTCGCCAATGATTTCCGCACGGATTTCTTCGTACTGCTTTTCATTCTTCTCGAATTCAGGGTCCATTTTGAACACATCTAAACTTAGTTATCTGAATTATAAAACGCTTGCAAAACAAAAAGGTGCTAGCTGCAAACAACGAAGGATGAAACACATAACATTAATTGACGGCTAACATGAAAAGTGCCTACATACTTCGCTACGAAAGACTTGAAAGTGTCATGAAAATTGTCTACATAAATCCAAGAAAAAAAACTTGAGCAAAGAAGACAACAAGTACCCACTCAGTTCATTCTCCGGGTTTATTGCATCCTCTAAGGAAAGCGTATGAGTAATCTGATCATCCTCATCAATAAGATCCAACTCTTCAAGAACCGCTGGGTAGGCCTAAACGAACTCATTGGCCCCGCAAGCATCTTGCACAAAGGGCGTGGCATACCTTGAATTTATCTTTGCGGATAGCCATCACGACTTCGATCATATATTGCACACGTTTGTCAAGGTTTGTAGCATCACCATCTTGAAGAATACCACGAAGACGTGTAAATATGGTGTCCAAAGCACGCGGGGAGACCTGGATGCTTGTGAAATTGATATAATAGAAATCAAATCAAAATTGTAAATCACTTACTTCAGCCAATTTGGCACCTATGACTTACAGAAAACTCATCAGAAAATTCTATTACTTACTTCGGCCAGCTTCGCACCACATTCTTTAAGAAAAGCGATGGACACCTCCACCGAGTCGTCAGTGGGAGTTTCCAGCATCAAGATCATGATCTCTAGAGCTAGCACTTCATGCGCCTGAAAATAAGCATAATAAATAAGAAAGGCTGGAAACAATTCCAATTGTTAGTGGATAATTACTTTGAATCCGACGACAACATTTGCATCAAGAGCTTGAGATACGACTACAAACTAAAAAAGGAGAGGCGACCAACATGAACGATAGCCATACGGCAATCTCTTTCACGTCTATATGTACGCTACGATAATATTTGAAAATTTGAAAGAATACTGGAGTTTAGTAGGCCCTAATTTTTACTCTTCGATACCATTCTTTATCGAAAAGCAAACTGCTTCAGAGAGAAAGAATACATGCACGGCATAGCGTAAACCGCAAAAGTACAATACGCTTACTTGCAGCTATCGTTCTTTACAAACACCCCTAGAAAAGTTCAATTATACTGAATGTCTCACCACTTTCTGATTGATAAGATGAGCGATGAACTTTGACACCGTAACGGTAGTCCCTGAAAAATTTTCACCAATAATTTCACCCGAATTGATAGCGAACAAGAATCTCACCTTTGTCATTTCGTCTGAAAGATCGCTTGAACTGCACAATCAGTCTTCTCAGCAGCAGTTCACCGATGTGTGGAAATTTCGAGTTGATTACAGCCACAAATGCAGCGTATACATGGGAGAACACCGGCGAAAATGCTTGAGCTTGCATTATGGATCGTACCAATAAGCCCCTGAGCATTATGAATATTTCTGTGAAGGTAACCAATAACGGCTGGAGTGACTCACTTTCCACGGATAACGTTCTCCTGTAAAAGCGACCGCACAATCTGGACTAAGTTTCCTGTGTTTACTTTGTTGACTAAACCGTGAATTTTCTTCTTCAGGCGTTCCCAGTTCATTCTCTGGTACTGTTCGCCTTGCTGAAAACAATAAAGATAGGGTGAAACTACCACAAATCAAAATCGTAGTCAACTTTGCCAAAGACGCTAACCTTATCTTGTATCTGATCCTGCATCATGCGAAGTTTAGCTGGAGGAATGTAGGCACCTCCAGTTCTTGTTCTCAGCAGATCCATAGGCTCTTTCTTCTCCTTCTTCTCTTCCTCCTTCTTCTCTTCAGCCTTCTTTTGCTCATCTCTCTTTTCAGGAGATCTTTCTCGACGTCGCCGGGTTGCTGGGGATCGGTCTCCTCTCCTTTCATTGCTAGAGAAAGAACCCTTTGAAAGTCCATAATATTAAAGAAGCAATAGGTACCTTCGGCTTCTTGTTCTCGAGCGCTTTCTGTCTCGGCGATCTCGATCTCTTCTGTCATCTCTGCGCCTTTGGCGGTCTTCGCGACTCCTGTCTCTTCTACCCTCACGGCTTCTTTCTCTTCTGCCATCAGAGCTTCTTTCTCTTCTTCTTCTATCATGGCTTCGACTTCGCGACTTGGAGCGGCTTCGAGACTGAAAATGAGACACATAATCCCTACCTCAAAAATTGACAATGTGAGGAACTTCGATGACTTTCTTCACAAAGAATTAGTGAAAAAAGTTTCCCACTTTTCCTAGTTATTTATGTCGTTGATATGAAAAGTACTAAAAGGAATTAAAGAATCACTGTGACTTTCTAAGAATATATGTAGCTTTCCAAAATTATCCTACCCTGGCTCGACGTTTCTCAGATTTCGATTCTTTAGACCGGTCATCATCCTTCTTTTTAGCTCCCTCATCTTCATCACCCGAACTCGGCGGTGAACGAACATCGTCTGCAGATTTGCTACGACTTCTCGAACGAGATTTTGTTGCCTAGAGACGGCAATACAATTATAGAGAAGAATCACCAAACCTTCTCAGCAACGTAGAAAGCACTCGAAGTTATCAAGCACATAAAAGTAGCGATTTGCCTACCTCGGATTGCTGCACTTCAGGAGGCGTAGCTACTTCTTCTTCTCCCGCATTCCTCGACCCATGTTCATTTGGACTTGGAGAGAGTACCTTATCCTGTTCGGACTCGCTTGAGCTTTTTGAACGAGTCATCCAACTGAAAGCATGTTATAACCTATACTAGCTCTTTCAACGATTACCGCAGTAGACAGAGCAAAACGCAATATACCGAAAAAGGAGTGTTGTAAGAATGCTGGGTCACTTCACTAGGTCCTCGAATGCAGAGAAATGAAAGAGCCTACGGTTACAACAGATACATTATGCTACTGTGGTAAAAAAGCATCAAAGCCAAGAAAGTAATAAACCAAAACCTTCAGTAAACAACCGTTTCGAAACGAAACAAAAAACCGCGGAGTCACATGCAACGATGCGTCACAGTGCACCCGGTGTTCAGCGATACATCCGTGCGGTCAATTTCAAATCATTCTTTTGCACACAAAATGCATTTCCTTTCCATTTTCTCATCTTGATGTTGTCTTGGAAATTAACTTAGTACTTTTGCCTGCAAAATCTTGCAAATGAATTTAGTGGTTTCGTTCAACGAAATTGTATAGACGTTTTGCAACTTTGAGTGACCATTCAGCTTCACAACTAGCCACTCTCCGTTTTTGGTCAGCGGACGTCATCCTTTTTACCTCTCATTTTTCAGTTTATAGAAATGAGCTCCATCGGTACAGGTTATGACTTGGCCGCATCGACATTTTCTCCCGATGGACGAATCTTCCAAAGTGAGTATGCTGCATCTGCTCCCGTTCTAATGTCATCTACAAATATTGCATTTTCAGTTGAGTATGCACAAAAAGCAGTTGACAATAGCGGTACAATGATAGCACTTCGAGGGAAGAATGGTGTCGTGACAGCTGTTGACAAAGTTATTACGTCAAAGATGTACGAAGAGGTATCCATTTCTTTTTTTGATTTTTGATTTTGACGAGCTAAGTTTTCCATACAGATATTCATATGCGCTAACTAGTGAACCAGTAATCTGAAGGTGCTATTTGAAAGAGTGTCACCGGGACCCGCCGCGGTTTCTCGCTTTGGAAGATTTTTGAATTGTGCTAACGATTTCTTGTACATTAGATGTCGGGGACCCGCAAAAGTTTTGAGAAGCACCCCAAAAAATTTTTCGGAGTGCGTGGCTAACGCCACGCACCTTCTTTAGAAAAAAATTTTTGTCGCGCCCCCCCGAGCCGAAATCCTGGGTACGCCAGTGGTAGATCTGATTTCCTGAATTCATATATGGGATTAGAAGGCTTTAGCTTAGCCATTATCTAGTTGGCAGGAATGAAAATCATTCGTGGTCGAGAAATTCAACGCTAGGCTCGCGTCCATGCCCTGCTCAAGGACGTTAACTGGTCCCCTCGGAGAGAGTACGGTAGTGGGCAAGAGTTTGAAATTGATTTTATGGCCAAGAATGATCGATGAGGTGCCGCTCAGGGACCCGTCATATTTCGCCGAAAACAGCCCGAAAAAACCGGAACACTCCTTCCGTTTTGACGTTAAGGCCTCGGGCAGAGTTCGCGCGACTTGATCGTCGCGGTTCAATTGCGACAAGACAACTGTTGCGAGTTCATTGCATGCCGACCAGCTTGCATTCGGCTGTGGTACTTTCCAGCTCGAAATTTTTGAATGTAAAATGAAAATGAATGAAAATGGCGGCGATTAACACATTGACGACAACGTGACCCACATGGTGGGTCAAATGACTGCCACGTGGGACAATGTGACCCACATGGTGGGTCACGGCATAAACTTTTTGAAATAATAACAATTACTGGGTACATCCGTTTCCTAAGGTCTTTTACGCTCTAACCCTAGAAAATACCTTGACGTTTCTTGGCCGCTTTCAAGAATTTGTGTAGGTGTAGTTAAAATGACGATCTGCTTGGTTTTAGCTAGAAATTTTCGATTCGTTCGTGGAAGGCATTGTCCCACAAGGCAGACACAACTAAAAATGCGCGTTGTCGTCAACGTGTTAAGTCGCGACGATCAAATCGCATGAACTCTGTCCGAGGCCTTAAATGAAAATGAATGGAAATCGCGACGATCAAATCGCGTGAACTCTGTCCGAGGCCTAAGGCATGGTGTTGATTTCGCAAACTGAGTCTTTTTGGGACATTTTCTTTCGTCTGCACATCAAAATAACGTCAAAATTCTACCATGATTTCGTTTTTGCGTTCCTGCTCTCGGGATTTTCTCGGCTTTTTCGGGCTTTTTTGAGCGCTTTTAGGCTTTTTTACGGCGAAGTATGACGAGTCCCTTAGGCATCGACTAGGTTAGTGCTTCCCAGTCTCCTTTCGCCTGAAAAACGGAGCTATCAAGATTTCTCTGATACTGTCTTCAGAAAATTGTTAGATTCCCGTTAGTTTTGTTTTTACATCGATCTCATGTCCATTGAGATCGATGTAAAAACAAAACTGATGACTGCCTCCTGCATGCCCTTGCTGTTTTAGTTTGGATCAAAGTAAAAGTCTACATCTTGAGTTGCGTTACAGCTGCATGTGCCTCGAGATTGTATTACATATGTTCCCTTGCGCTTTTACAGCAGTTATTGCTAGATGGATCGAATTGCTAAGGTTCTTTTTGAGGTTGAGACTTCGCGTCGTTCTACTATGAACTTGCCCACAAGCGTTCAAGATTTCAAACTTCCGTTGTAGATGGACATTTAAATGTCAGATATTGCATAAATTGAAAGATAATCCTTTCGGTCTGCGCATGCGTCAACCGTTACAGCACAAATGCTTACTTACTCTCTTACTGAACTAGGTGTGGTTTTAAAGCAGTTTATGCGATTTCGTTTTGAACTTCGTTTTGTTTTGAGGAAACGGTTGATTTTTTCTCATTTCAGAATGCCAATCCACGAATGTTCAATGCAAATGAGAATATCGGTCTTGCTCTTGCTGGTGTATATCCAGATTGTCGAGCTTTGAAAGATTACGCTTGCAGTGAGGTGGGGATCATATACTGCATTGTTGTTTTTCTTTTTAATGTAGTTTATAAGTCTGTGTGAATTTTTTCCCAAAGCATGCCATTTCTTACAGGCGATCAAGTACCTCAAGGATTATCGTGAACCAATGCCAGTGCAGAAGCTTGCCGATGCTGTGAGTCTTGTTTCATTGTGCACTTTTTCTTTACATTTTCTCTTCTTGCGAGCATACCGCAGGTTTATGCTTTTTCTTCCTTCATTTTTATAGGTTCCTTTGTTATCATTTCGACTCTAGTTGTTCTCGAGAATAATAGGATTGCAGAGCTCAAAATGCTATTTCTGAATATATCAATTTATACGCTCGTGTACCTTGAAAACAAAGATCGTAGAGAGGCAACATAAACGGTCTAAGCCTCAGTTTAATCCAAAGGCTAGTCCCAGACGAAGGCGGCTGCCCCTGTAAGACGACGTGCTCGAGCGCACAAGACCTAATGATGAAAGATGCTCATCAAATGCGGAATGTGGGTTCGCATCCGCTTCGCATGCTGAACCGACCGCTTCGCCAGAGTTCAGCCTTTATCCTGTGAATTTTATTTTGAAAAAAAAAGTAGCCTGTGGAGAAATTTGTAGCTTATGATGCTATTGCGCTACTCATTTCTTGTCCTGTGCTATCGTTCTCTTGCTTCTATGCTTTGAGAACATCAAATCTGTCATAGTAGTCATTTTTAGCTGGCGCAGTACGTCCACCTCTATACCCTCGGTATCAGTCGTCCATTTGGTGCTTCTGCTTTCTTCACATCATGGAACAAGAAGGTAGTTAATTCTCGCATTTTCAGTCATTTTGCTTTTCCCTTCTCTATCAACACTGTTGCAGGAGGGAGGTAAATTGTACCTTGTAGAACCATCAGGTCTTTGTTATGAATACAAGGCATGGGCAGTTGGAAAGCATAGACAAGCAGCAAAGGTAGGATCTGCTCTAGAGAGGTGAAAGTCAGCACAATTCTTTATATCATATTCAGGCGGAAATAGAAAAATTGAAGTTGGAAGACTTTGATATGAAAGATCTAGTCAAAGAAGCTGCTCGAATCATTATTGCAATTCGAGATGAGAACAAGGTTTGCCACATTCCTAAGCTATTTTGAATTTTTGAATTTTTCTCTTTCGAGGACAAAGATGTCCAAATTGAACTAGGCTGGGTTGGAGAAGCTACAGATGGGCGACATGAGGTAATAAATTTCCCTGTTTTGCTCCATCTTTTCACTTTTTTTCAAAATTTCAGACGGTACCCGTCGATGTAGTTGCTGCGGCCGAGGAATGGGCACGTGCCAAACTTGATGAGGATGATATGGACGAATAGGCGGCTAGTTCATTGTTTTACTTGTACGGTTATCCGATTTCATACTGTTGAGCAATGATTTCCCTTTAATATATGAATTAATTTATTTGTTTTCATGCGATAGAATGTGTGATTGAAATTCGGTCAATTATAAAACTTAATAAGTTTTATTACATCATCATATAAACATCTGTATATACAAATATGGCCAATATTGTCATATAAGTACATAGAAAGGTTTAAGAAAACAAGCACCTGAAGCGGGATTAGATGGCTAGGTGAGCGAATGGCGAGTGTATGTGCACAGTGAAACGAGGAACAGTGAGGAAATTTTATGCAAATTGTTGAAATTTCTCCGATTAGCAGAGATTCTCTTCTTTCGCCACCTTTGTTTTTTCTAGACATTCAAAAACGGCATTTCGCAAATATCTGTACGTCCGCGTAAGTTCACCCATTCCGGTCTTTAGTCCATTTGTTACATAGGCAATGACTACCTGAATAATCAGTTGTTGTAATTTTTGTTTCTATAAAAGTTGACAGATTCAGCAAAATATGACTTACGTCGTCTTCGAGATCCATCATTACTGTGCTTCCACCATAGCCAGGATGTCCTACCAACCATTGTTTCTGAAAAACGTAGAATTACAGTCGAGCGTTTCGAAGCTCATGTTAAAGTTGAGGAGTTAATTAGAACATTGAGTTTACGCTTTTAAACAACAAAGAACTTACCCCAGGTGTTGGGTGACGTTCGTAAAGGAATCCATGTCCTTTTGGTAGTGGTGTCATAACAATTTCATCGAGACCAGAGTTGATCTCAGGATCTTTGAAGCGTTGCAGAAGCTTCTGTAATGAAAAATATAGTTGGATAGCGAGAGTGAGTTTTTGTCCCTTTGCATATTATACGTGCTTTCGCTTGGAAATGATGAGCTTCGTTTCTTAAGCATGGTCAAAATGATTCTTGAGTACGGAAAAGGGTCGGGCATACTTCACGCGATTTCAGTGGTGACGCGATTTGGCAATTCGCCAGAGGTCTTCAGATTCAACACTAGCAAGCTGAACATGCATAGTGTGTATAACTACTTACTACTGTGTATATTACGTGGACTGATAAAATGCCTTATCTTCTGTACAGTCGAGTAGATTTTCCGCTTAATATAGTGTGCTTGCACAGAATGTGGAAATGCGGTAAAATTTGTGCGTGAAGAAATAGCTTTGACTGTGACGCCGCGCAAAATACGAGCATTACTTGCGTGGCTATTTCTTCACGCGCAAATTTCACCGCATTTCATCTTCGGGCAAGCACACTATATTAAGCGGAAAATCTACTCGACTGTACATTCAAAATGTGTTTACGGTGAGTTATGGACAGTTGGAATATTGTCAAATCGCGTCGCGACCTGAATCGCGTGAAGTATGCCTGGCCCTTATGGTATGCATATCAATTTCAAGGTGCTCTAGTATGCGCCTAGCAATGACCATGTAGAATTTTCTTGGGAAAAAGAAATGACAAAAGCACGCCTTCCAAATCTTCTAATTTGCATATTTATGTTGAGAAATGCTGAAGTGCAATCTTTGAAGAAAAAGGGTTTTCCATGAAATAAGCATTCTCTCGAATTCGAAGTCACTTGCATCACTGAACGAAAGTGGGAAATATCACCTTGCTAAAGAATTTTCCTTCAAGCATTAGTGAAAACAGCCGAGCGAGATCACGTGCTTTTGTGATACCTAGTGCTGCTACCTGTTCCATGCTATGTAGCTCGGGATCATTGAAAGTATTCACATCCTAAAAGTTGATCACTTATTTTACAAGAAAATGGTCATAAGCTTAACGAACCTGTTCTAATCGGAACCACTGTGGGTTATCGCGAACTTTCCTAGCGATAGAGTTAGGCATTCTGAGATGGAAAATGCCAAGAACAATAAGAACTCTGAAATAGCAAGAGTCTGAAGTCATTCAGTGAGTAAGTGCAACATGTTGTTATGGAAAAAAATTCATGTGTTTTTTATATTTTGCATGACATCATCATTGTTAGTTACGAGTGATCCCTCCTAAAATTACTTGCGGATTTTTTTACCGCAATTATAGCCATCCACACCATTCATATCATACTAGTTGATGCGTAATAATATCATGGTCGTTTTCGAAGTTTTTCCGGGGGATTTCCGTTAGGATAAGCATTTTTTCGGACAAAATCAGTAGTGATAGAGGAATGTGGTAAATCAGACTGCGCCAAGCATTCAGACTGGGAAACTCTCCCCTTTGCTGTTTTGGAGATTGAATACAATTACGGAATCAAGGAAACATGTTTGGTAACTTTCTTGAGTATGGGGAGCTCTACATAAACCCCGTATTTAACAAACCTAGGGTCGTGAATGATCTCCTTCAACAGATGTGCTGTAGATGGCATTGATAAACGGGATACAGTATGTTCTTCGGATTTTGGGAGACCAATATGGAAATCGATACCTGCAAATCAATCGACGAATTACTGTGAATTTGCACTTTCTCAACTTACCGTACTTATCCGCCACTTCTTCTTTGAAGAACTGTCCTACAGATCTACCCTGTGGATCTGCTCTGCGTACAATTTGGTCTACAATCCAGCCATAGGTGATGGCATGGTATCTAATGTGCAGAAATTATATCTTGAGCAAAAAATATCGGAAAAAATTGAGATCTACCCGCTTTTGGTGCCTGGCTCCCAGTTTGGCTTCTGTTTTGCAAGGATGTATGCCATTTTATTAGGATCTTTTGCGTCTTCTCGGGTGATTGGCTCATCCAATGCGGCTAGACCTGCCTAGAAATTGAAAAATGAGTGGGATGTAATTCCATAATTTTTTTCCGGGTCATCTTTTTTATTCGTGCTAGTTAATTTCCGTAAATCACTATGGAACAGTTCGTCGACTATCAGGCTGAAGCATAGGTCTTACACCAAAAATTTGAGAACTTCTGACTTTTTATCAAGTGATTGTTTCATCAGACTTTATATTAAATGATTTTTATTACTAAAAAAATCTGTCTTATCGTGATCTGCTCGAGATTCGGCGAATTTGCTTGATGTCAAGGACCCGTCATACTTGGCCGAAAAAAGCCCAAAATAGCCCGAAAAAAGCCTAAAGAAGCCCGAAAAAGCCCAAAAGCTCAAAGAAGCACGAAAGAGCTGAAGCGCTCCTCCCGTTTTGACGTTAAGGCATGTATGTTGATTTCGCAACCGAGTCTTTTTGCTTCATTTTTTGTTGTCTGCACATCAAAATAATGCCAGAATTCTAACAAAAGTTCGTTTCTTCGTTCCGGCTCTTTTAGGCTTTTCCGGTCTTTTTCCGCTTTTTTGGGCTTTTTCCGGCTTTTTGGGCTTTTCGGGCTGTTTGGGCGCTTTTGGGCTTTTTGCAAAGTATGACGGGTCCCTTACATTCTACATATGTAGCGCCGATAAACGCCCGCAAGCGCGTCTTATGCGGGCTAAGTTGGCATTCGCGCGCATGAGTCTCATAGCGCCCGTACCCGGTAGCCGCGTTGCAGGCACGCCGCTGCGTTCAGCCTATAGTGACCCGAGTGTTTTCGTGCAGTCGACTATACCACTCCGAGAAATTTGGCAGGCAGTGCAATCAGAAGTCATTACTGTATTTAGTACACTATTGCTATTCTGTAATGAATGTTTAAACTTTCCCATAGGGACTTTTCAAGATTTTCCGGCACGTTGTTCCTCTGCCAAGCCATCAAATCTATACGTTTCTATCCAGCCGAAGAAAAATAATGCCACCATCACTTTTGCACTTTTGGCATATGAGAGGCTCAAACGTTTACTCTAATTGTAAGATAAGAAGCGTAATCCATGCGAAGGGCAATTGTTGATAAGATTATTCATGGTATGGGTACTATTGCGACAAAAGTAGCGTTACTTTAGATGACGACCATAAAGGAAGCATTTCCACTCCGAACGTTTCGAGAGTTCAATTCTGTACCGTTCATGGTTAAAAAGGTACAATATAACGAAATAGGTTCTGATCCACAAAGAATTGATGAACAAACTAACAAACTTGTCAAAAACCTCTTATGCAATGGTACGGGTATATCTCATAGACTCGTTCCCACTAATACAATATACAGGGTGTCCCAGAAAAATGTTTAGAACGTTTGATCGTTAATATCTCTCTTCCCAAGAAGTCTTTTGCCCTTGCTTCAGGTACCGTTTTGTAGAGCTGGCTTCAACTTAGATTTTCATTATAGAACGAATCACCCATCTCTCTTCATTACTGTAGGGTTACGGTAGAAACTTCAAAGAGGGTTTTGAACCATGAAAGGCCATATTTTGCCTCGGAAAGGAAACAAAACAGCCTGAAAACTTTTACACCAGGCTAATTAGAATTGTTGATTATAACTGTAAAGTTCCCAACTTATTATGATGCTTCATTGAAGAGTTATAAGCAGAAGCGGCCATTTTTTCAATGTTCCTAAAAAGTGCGGTTGCACCGTTTAGAAAGCTTCGTAATCTTGTGAATAGTTGAGTATTGAACTCAGCGTCTATAAAAACCCTATTACACAAGTTTTCACAATTTTTTGAAAAATTTTGAAACGGCAGCTTTTTCCACATTGACACCATATGTTTCAAGTTTCTACCGTAATCCTACAGTAATGAAGAGGATGGGTGATTCGTTCTATAATGGAAATCTAAGTTGAAGCCAGCTCTACAAAACGTTAGTAAAATGTATAGTTTGTAACTTTACGGGTGATATGTTTGCTGAAAACCCACCCTATGGCTCATTAACCAGTCGATGGTCACATTTTCCTTGCCGTTCTGACCAAATTCTGGCCAGTATTGGACCATTTTGTCTTCATAAGCTAGATATCCACGATCGACTAGCATAGCTACGCATAGGGCACCGACTGCCTGTAAGTGGACTTTTTTGGAAAAGATATAAACATGTTAATCAACAGTTGGTAAAGGGATATATTTGAGTGGTGGAAAAGGAAGGTTATGAGAAACTCAGCTGTCAAACAAGTTGGAAGAATAATTGCTAAATCCTCTAAAAAAAACGTTCTTTTTTTTGGCCTGTTAGGATCATTAACTTTTGAAGATCTTTTTTTTTTCAAATCATCGGCAGGATAACAAATTGTAACAGACACCGACCACAGGGTTAGCCGGGTAGCCGTTCAAGGTACAAAAGTCAAAGTTAAGAACTCTCGTTTATACTAAAGCTAAGAAAAACAAACTTTACTAGCACTGAATACAACTGTTCTCGTGTCGGGTGTCCACTTTCTGCCGGATGCTTTGTCAGCATAACCACCCTAAAATTTTGTTTTTTTTTTCATGTAGGACCAGGTAAACGGTTAGGTAATCTAACCTGCAAATCCACTATCAACTCTCCTTTGTAGTAATATCTCCTGCGTGACGAAGGCGGTTGCCCAAATAGGTTGAAGCGTGTCGCGCACGCGGCGCGCGGGCAATTGTCAGCCTCGGAGCGCGCGCAGGCTCGTTCAGCGGTCATCCACGGAGCGCGCGCCGCACAGCAGCTAGCCGGCCGCGTTATTGATGCTAATTTTTGCTGTTATTGTGCACTGCGATGACTCTACTCGTCCAGTGAGGTGAGTTTTCACTTCAGTTTTTCTTATTATGTGAAATTTTGATGCTAGATTTGTGTGCTGACTGTTTTTCATGGCTTTGTGTGCTGCATGCTTGCGCTTTGTGTCTGCATTCCGTTGTTTGTGTGCTCTCCTTGTTCTTAATTGCTCTCCTTGCTTTTCGTTTCTTTTTTCAATCTCCTTTGTAAACTTTCTGTTTGTTGTGAATGTTTTTTCTGCATTGCTGTGTGAATGCTCGTGAGCAGAGGCAGATTTGTTTTTCCACAGCCCTGTCTCTTGACCCCTGCATGCTTTCTGTCTTCACCAATGCTTGTAAGAGCTGTGCGTCTCTGTTTTTGCTTCTTTGTGAGAAGGCAAAACCCTAGATAGCGTGGCTATCAAGCATTTTTGTTTTGAGTGCATGCTAAAGAAATACGAACGTTATTTCAGTGCAATATAAGTTATCGACAAGGTGAGTCTTTCCTTACGCTCAGTCTATTGATTTTTTTTTGATTTCGCGATTCATTGCTTACCTTACGCTCACTTACGCATGTTACAAGTCTGTCTATGTTATAAAAGATTTATTTATGAAGAATTGATTGATCCTTCAGAAATTAGATTCCCTATTCGTTTGGTGAGCTTCATGATCAACTTAAAGTGTAGCTGTGATTAATGATTAAATAGGTGCGAAACTAGAGACCTTACAAGTATCGAGCATGCAAATAAGATAGAGCGAAAGGCATACAAGTGGTGAAAGAAGTAAAAGTGAGCATTGTATTGATTGGTTTTCTTTGGAAGGCGCATTGAAGTGAGAACGATTGTACTATGATGGAAGAAGTGAGTAATTAGGTGAATAACGTTGACATCCGTTCCTATTAGTCACCCCGATGAAGTAGCTTATGGTCAAATAAGTTAATCTCAAATGTGGTCTAAAGGCCGAGAGCGCTCCAAGCTTCATCGATATCGCTAACATCACTTGAGGATTCCAAACCCTATGAGACGAAAATATTGAGTTATCTTGTGCTAAACTATCAGTGAGTCTTTCTTACTTGGCTATTTTCGAGATCGATGGCAATTTTTTCTCTTGCTGCCTCCTCTTCATGCATAACATGAGCAACCCAATCGTGACACAACGATTGTGGCACGTTACCCATCCATTGCAGCGCTCTTTGTTTTACCTTCAAAAAGACTTACAGGGAGGAGCTTTTGTTTAGTCACCTGTACCATTTGTAGGGTGTCGTTATGCTTCCCGAACTTGGTGAGATAGTCCTTCATTCGACCCCAACACATTTCAATGGGGTTGAAGAAGTAGTGGAAAGGCGGTAGCCTTACCACTACTGCTCCTACCTCGGCACAAATACTCTCGGCAGCATATTTGCGTAAAGCGTATCGACCGCCCCGACTGGAGATAAATCTCTCGAGCTGAAAAGAATAGGGCAGTTTAGCTGCTAGATGGATAAGCTAAATTGAGTATAAGTCACTTCTGCTACAAGATCTTGCTTCGTGAGATTTGGTGGCACCGTAATGTGCTGTGATCGCAGGTATTCTTCTATGACCGCCTTTGTGGAGGACCTGGTGGGTATCTGAATCATATGATTGGTTCCAATAGGCATTTATGGGGAGGTGACCTTTTCTAATTGTCGGGAGTGATAGGCCGCGTTATCCATCACTAAGCACAAACGACGGCCACCAGCAACAGTCTGCATTTTGGGCAGTGATTCCCGCATCCAGTTCTCAAAGACTTCATGGTCCATATCCTGATGATAGTCCCCGACTGCATCGCGGCCACTGATGATGATTTTAGTGCAGCCGGGTACTATTCCAACCTCAGTCATGGCGCTGATGACAATCGCCCTCTTTCCTTTGTCTTTGGTGGCAGTTTTTCCGTGGGAAAAATGCTGGAACACCGATTCTGGGGCGAAGCGCGGTATGTTGGTGTCGACCCATCCCTTAGCCTTTGACATACAATCGTATATCCAGGTTTCATCCAGATACACAATGCAGCAGTTGCTGCTCCTGGCCTGTGCAATAGCATCGAGGTAGGTGGATCTTCTGCTGACGAGGTCTGGACGTTCAAATATGTACCTCTGGCCGGCATTTCTTCTGTATGCGAATCCTAGCCCTTTCAGCAGGTAATAGAAGGCTGTCTCTGTTAAGTCAAAAGAGGGATGGAGTTGTTTCAGCTCATCCAGAATCTCTGCCACGGTCACATGCTTTTCTTGCCTAAACTTCTGATGCATGAATTGCCTTACGATGTCTCCCCATTCGTCCCCGTGTACTTCAAGAGCCTCAATCGTTCGTTGTTTCGGGTTCATTGCAACAGGCGCGATGGTGCGGGGTATGGCCTTTCTACTTAGATCGGTCTCAGCTCTGAGGCGTTCAACTGTGCGATGACCGATTCCGCATGCGATGCTCGTCAGCTTTGCAGGAAAGTCAAAGATGGTCCCTTTAGCTGCCTTTCCTAAGCGGCGCTTCAGCTCTTCAAAGAATACTTCAACGTTGCCCACTATTGCTTTGCTCTTAGCATCCAATGAAGCTCGGCCTTTGTATTCAGTGTTACTGGAACGAAGTGGGCGAACTGGAGAGTAGCCTTCTTCCAATGGCGTTGAGAACATCTCAAATGTGAGACCTCTGATGGTGCTCTCCAAGTCGGTGACCGGGTTCTAATAATCAAAGTATAAGAAAGAAGACGACGGAAACAGTCATAGCTTACTGAAGTAGTAGGGAGATCTTCCGAAGATGTCCTTTGAGTAACCTCATCGCTTCTCGAGTGCTAAGATATCAAAGCTTTTTTGTGGACGTTCAACATGTTCATTTGTTATCTTTTAGAGATTTAACTTACTGTGGGAGTATCATCCCTTAAGTTCTCTCTGCTCAAGAGTAGACGGCGAGCGATGGAAGACTAGATAAACTAATGTTTACGTCTATCAATGCTTATTATTGAAACTCACGAAGTTAGGAGTCGTTGAAGCCATGATGGAGACGATTTCGGCCAAACACTAATGCTCAAAGCACTGCAAATCAAAATTTTGCTCACTTATAGTCCAAGGCAACGAGCAACTCAAGAAGTGAAGCTTGACTTAGGCGCTTGGTAACTCACACACAGTGGTCACTAACTCTTGGATAGGTGCAAAGCTCCTATTCAAGAGTTAGTGACCAGCGCCTTTCAAGTTAAGACAAGTTCGCTTTATTGACCCCTACACCGGTCGCCTGCAGAGTAAGTGGGAGCCTCAAGCGACGTTAGGGAGTAAGCCCACTCATCAGCTTACTTATCTTACGCTTTGCAACCAAAAATCGCCATACGTTACTCATTGAACAAGGCAATCAATCTTATTCCATTTGAGCAGCAATTAGACTATTAAATAGGATCAAAAGGTAGGAGTTTGAAGATCAAGTTCAACAGCCCGCTTTGCTAGCCATGCCATTCAAAGTTTCACGTTCATAAAAGAAGGGAAACCAGAAAGGCCTGACCAACTTGAACGGTGAACGCATAAAGATTCTGGGAGAGATTGAAAACAACGATTACAAACAGTTGACACAATCTAAGTTCTGAAGGATCAAAGATGGTATCAGTGAAAAACCATTCAAGATAGCCGGACTCTGTGTCAGTTTGTAATTGTACCAGAATGATCGCCAAAGAAGGAAACAAAAAATAATTGGACTGGGTTTGTTAAACTTACCTGTATTTGACATTCGCTATCACATCTGAAATTAAACGTCTTTTTGCTCTAAGTAGACCGCTTCTTAGCCACAACATCTTGTGGGTTTACTTTCTCACAAAGAAGCAAAACCAAAGATGCATGGCTGGAATGAGCGGTTCGTGAGGAACTGCGAAGAAAAGTGCGAAGAAGAATGTCTTTTTTTGCTAATGGTTCATGCAGGCACAAGAAACAATGCGCAGAAGAAAATGAAAGGAAATGAGGAATACCTAAACGAGATGCTGCACTAGCATAAGCATGTTTCATGCCGCTGTGCAGGTCAGTGACATGCGTAGGTATCATACGGAAAGCAATGGATCAATGAAAGCAAAAAGAAAAATCAGTAAAAGGCTATGAAGAAGACTTACCTTCAGAAAACATCATATACTGCACTGAAAATACACTGTCTTCTTTTGCAGCATGCATTTAAAACAAAAATGCTTGATAGCCACGCTATCTAGGGTTTTGCCTTCTCACAAAGAAGCAAAAACGAAGATGCACAGCTCTTACAAGCAGTGATGATGACAGGACGCATGCAAGGATCAAGAAACAGGGCTGTGAGAGAGCAAATCTGCTTCATTTCACGAGCCTTCACAAAACAATGCAATAAAAACATCCACAACAAACAGAAAGCTTACAAAGGAGATTGAAAAAAGAAATAAAAAGCAAGGAGAGCAATGAAGAACAAGGAGAGCACACAAGCAACGGACTGCAGACACATAGCGCAAGCATGCAGCACACAAAGCCATGAAAAACAGTCAGCACACAAATCTAGCATCAAAATTTCACATAATAAGAAAAACTGAAGTGAAAACTCACCTCACTGGACGAGTAGAGTCATCGCAGTCCACAACAACAGCAAAAACTAGCACCAATAACGCGGCCGGCTGGCTTTATAACATAGACAGACTTGTAACATGCGTAAGTGAGCGTAAGGTAAGCAATGAATCGCGAAATCAAAAAAAAATCGATAGACTGAGCGTAAGGAAAGACTCACCTTGTCGATAACTTATATTGCACTGAAATAACGTTCGTATTTCTTTAGCATGCATTCAAAACAAAAATGCTTGATAGCCACGCTATCTAGGGTTTTGCCTTCTCACAAAGAAGCAAAAACAGAGACGCACAGCTCTTACAAGCATTGGTGAAGACAGAAAGCATGCAGGGGTCAAGAGACAGGGCTGTGGAAAAACAAATCTGCCTCTGCTCACGAGCATTCACACAGCAATGCAGAAAAAACATTCACAACAAACAGAAAGTTTACAAAGGAGATTGAAAAAAGAAACGAAAAGCAAGGAGAGCAATTAAGAACAAGGAGAGCACACAAACAACGGAATGCAGACACAAAGCGCAAGCATGCAGCACACAAAGCCATGAAAAACAGTCAGCACACAAATCTAGCATCAAAATTTCACATAATAAGAAAAACTGAAGTGAAAACTCACCTCACTGGACGAGTAGAGTCATCGCAGTGCACAATAACAGCAAAAATTAGCATCAATAACGCGGCCGGCTAGCTGCTGTGCGGCGCGCGCTCCGTGGATGACCGCTGAACGAGCCTGCGCGCGCTCCGAGGCTGACAATTGCCCGCGCGCCGCGTGCGCGACACGCTTCAACCTATTTGGGCAACCGCCTTCGTCACGCAGGAGATATTAGACAGCAATAGCTGCTCCTTCTCGCTCCCAACCATCATGAAAATTTTTTCTGAAAACTCATAGGTTTGGTTCTTTATACAAGAAGTAAGCGTTCCACTCAAATAGTGGCATGATCTAATTACTAGTGTTAATTGATGTTACCGGTTATAATGCAATAGTTTTAACGTTTAATATAGTGTTCCCACGTTGCTGACATCATTTGCGCGTAAAAAAAGGTCATGGGGCCACATGCGCTCAATGGATGTTTTTTACGCGCAAGTGTTGCCGGCACCGCAAGGCGCACGTGCCAATCAAATTTGTTACTTACCATGTATAAATTAGGGTTGACAGTTTCAGTATAAAGTAATGGATATTGTTTCACTGTCCATCGAGTTAGCAAACCTTCGAAACAGTTTTTGCCCCCTCCACTGCCCTCCCCCCCCCCCTCTCCATTCTATATAGTTACAGTCCCGTATGCTTCTAGTTTTGTTAATATCGTGCAGTTGTGGTGACACTGTAGCCTTGGCAATCCGGTTCATCGCGCCCCTAAGCGGGTTCACCGATGGAAAGTGAAATCCCTGGCAAAGGCGAAGCATCGAAGAAACTCGATTATAGAACGCTAAGGTCAAATCTTGATGAGATGCGGTGTCATTCGGGTGATTTTTGATTACGTCATTAATATTTTGCTTGGATATTAATTATTAAAAGTAATCACTCGAATAATGGATTCCAAAAATATCGTCGAAAATCTGACGCTGTAACAATTAACTTGACAACATTTATGATAAGCATCAGTTTCAAACAAATGCTGAAATCGAAAATATTCTACACAAAATCTTCAAAAAAAGTCTATTATAACCGCAAAAATACTCACAATAACTCGCATCTAATTTTCTCGTTATTCTCAGTATCATTAACCAAGGTTTGATAATAATGGCAGAGCAACATAAGGAGGGAGAGATGTAAAATCACATGATTCAAAATCGTAAAAGAAATTCGTTTTTTTTTTTGCTGAAAAGCAATGTCTAGGCAAAATCCAAGCTTCCCGAATAGCATTTTGTCTACAACAATGCCCTAGGAATAGGACTCCTGGGAACTTTTTGCGTTTAACATCTGTAATCATGGCCACGAAAAGGCCCCAGTGTGACATAAAATGGAAGACGAAAATCAGGGTGGATGCCCTTTGAGAAGTTTTTATTTACACTAGATAAATGGAAATTTCAATTAAACGCTTTTTATGCTCTCTTTGATGATGCGAAATAATATTCCTGCAATCTTAAACTTTCCAGACATTCTCCTTCCTTCCGTTCACCCACTCTTGAAAAAACTTCTCCACATTAGGATGGATGTCTGTTTATCATGGTTCCCTAGAATAGGTGAAAACCAAAATTTATTGCCGCAGATATGTCAAGGGCATACGTGAGTTTTAAATCCAACATAATTTAGACAGATTCACTGATCGCACAAAATTGTGAATGTCTTTATCTAATAGATGGGACTATACCAGCAAGAAAAAAAACTTGCGTACGTGTTCATCCTAGATAGTCAGTCGCATGAAGCAAGCTCAGCTGTTATTTTACAATATGTGCATCATTTTATCAGAAAGAACCAAGAAAAGCTTTCGATCAAACTGTTAAGACAGAATTGAAATTGTAGATCTTAAGACGTCAATCAGTTATGTTCAAATCTACAGTTGGGCGGTTATTTCATTTCAATGATTTGCGGAAATTATTTACATGAGGTTTGGCAGGTGACACCCACAAACCGCTCATTTGATATCTGCCAAACCTCACATATTCTTGATTCTTTAATCATTCTCAACGGTTTTACAAGCATTTACAAATACCTTGATGAATTTGCTTAGTGCTTCAGAAATACAATATGTGCTTCAGTACAAATTTTTATGTCAAAAGCAGTAACTAACATACCAAGGAGCAAGTTCTATACCGAAGTTTTTTTTTCATTAATGGGGGTTCTTCAGTTATATTTGCCAGTGACGAGTGAGTATGGAGGTAATATAGTAAGCCCGAATGTCGCGCGTAAAAAATCAAAGATTTTCACAAATGCATATTTTCTTTAGTTTTTATTATATTCAGATAGCAAAGAGAATATTTAACAGCGTTTCTTGGATTGTTACATGAAGGCAAGAAAATTCCGAGACATGCACTTCGCGTATTGAGGATTGCCTACGACCGCAGCATTTAGCCGTAGCAATTTTTACGAATTTGTGCACCACTTTGGACAACCATAACTCAAATAGGACTATTGTAAGCTTTGTTTACTTTTCTCATATACGAAAACCAAATCGAGTAGCGAATGTTTGCTGCAAACCGGCATGAAATTTGTTTGTCACGATTGTGGGCCATTGTCACGATCACTCACTCTGGCGGATGGCTAATGTTAGGATTCGCAGGTCCTCGCATTTTTTAATATTTATGGAAAGAAACAAAATAAAAGTTTTTCTAATTCTATTTGCTAACTTCATATGTGAACTAGAGCTTATGCGCCTACGTTTATTGTTTTATACAATGTTTTCCAAAACTCTACCAGGGGTATGGAAAAATCCCAAATCTCCATAGCGGTTGGCCATTTTATATTTCTTTCTAACCAAATGAATAAGGGAAATAAACATAAGAGTGTGCTACAGTAATCGTCCCAAAACTGTTCAGCGGATTTCTCTCAAAATTAGTAAAATCTTGATTCTTCTGGAGCTAAAAATCATATTGCTCAGATTTAAATACTTCAAGATTTTTCACTATATTTTTTTTACAAGCTCTTTCATATGAGGACGAATGTTGATGGCAAGAAAGTGCTGAATAAGTGCATAACTGCAATCAGCAAGCGATAAGGAATAGACAACTGCCAAACAATTTTACAGGGCATAATTTCCATAAACATTACTAACGAATATGGTAGGTTCATAGAGAGTAACGAGAAAACAGAAGTTTGAGACGTGAAAAATTATATTGCATTTTGTTGAATTTGGTTTTGTCTCTGATCTTACGCGGAGATTTTTTAGACATTTCTCTGAGATTTCTCGGCAGGAAGAGAGGGCTCGGATAATTTAAGAAAAGTTTGAAGTAAAGCTGTTTTCAGCATTTGAATCCTGCTAGATGGACTTGAAGGGAAAAGCCCTAGGAAACCATGTTTCCGTCCAACAACTTCCATAAAATATCCCAGCGCCGGCTACTCATCTTCAAAAACAAGACCAGACACCACTAGCAATTGTAAACCGAGTAAAAACGAGAAAACTGGGTCTATGTTGACCTTGGGTTTTGCGATAATTTGGATATGTAACCGGTTGTTATGCCATATGGATCAGCTGGGAGATTAGCTCATGGAAAAACTGAAGAGAAAATCTTGGCAAGGGAAAATATGCATAATTATTTGTGAGAGGGCTAATTTTGCCCTAGTGATTGGATAGAGGGTTAGAAACGTCTCTCTATGCTCTAGAAACTATTTTGGATATATTTTTTCGAAAGCACGGAAATCGACAAAAAGAAAGAACAACCCAGTCTTCAAGAAGAGAGTACAAAAATTTTTGGCTCACCATCATGTTGGCAAAAACAAAAATCAAAAAAATTCCTACGATTGAGAAAAGTCCCTAAAATCTAGTAAATCACTAGCTTAGGATAGAATGAATTTTTTTCTCAAGGGAGTTCTACATAGACAATCAGTACAAGCGTAAAGGACCAAGAAATTGGGGAAACAAAATCAGAATTTTAGAAAAGAAATAGATGGAATTTATTCGTTTTTTCGTCATAGATATGATATTTGTAAAAGGAGAGGATAAAATCTTACAGCTCATTGAGGACCAAAAAGTTTTAAGGAAGTGACGAACATTTTCTTCATCTAATTCTCATATTTTTCGGTAATCTTCATAAATCGTAACCTTGAAAAAAAGGCTGTGCAAACTACCAGGGTCTGCTAGAATGTATAAAAGATAAAGGATTAATGAAGAGAGCTTCAACGTGTCTCATTTTATGGGAAAAAAGGCAGAAGGACCCTAATAAATAAAAGCTAAAGAAATCCTCACCTGAACACTTTCTCAACCTTCTGATATTTGGGATGAACGAATCCAGTGAGATTCTCGAGCCGAGTCATACCACAAAGCCAATTAATGTAGTAGAAAGTGAGTAGAGCAGCAGTGGCAGCGATAAACACACTCAGAGGGGCGGAACCGCCGCCGAACCCGAAGCTGCTGCCGCCTCCGCAACCGTTACGGAACCGCCATTGCAGCACACTCATTATTTCGCGTTCGGCTACCCTGAAAGTTAATTAGTGAGTTTAGAGGTTCTAGAAGAAGATTTGGAGGAGAGGGAAGTTAAGGAAGAAGATTGACTGCAGGCAACAGATTATCATTGTGGTATAAGAAACCGCTGTAGGCAGCATCGTCCGCGGCAAAGTAAGAAACTAGTCGCTGAGAGGAAAGTGAAACATAGAGAAGCTGGGCATTAGCACCGGATGTCCCAGCTTTTTAGGGATTTGTCACAGATTTGCTTGCTTATGGCTAAATGCAGGCATAAAAGTGACTGTAAAGATAGTCTTGCTTCATGTGTATTCTCTAGTATGACAAAATGAACCACAGTGCATCTCGGATCTTCCCCTCAAACTCTGTGAATGATCTGATTACTTCAAAATTTTTTAGCCCAAATCTTTACCAATCGAAAGAATTTCACATTTAGGTTATATCATTATGCAAAGCAAATAATAAACCACGAATGCGCCGAAGTTATGTTTAAGAGTTCAAGACTTGGATGCTAGAGTCATAGGAGAATATCAGAGGTACAAAGTTTCTGTAACACCATATTTCAGGAAATCATAGCTTTTTAACATCCTAACTATCCTGTATGGAGCAAATTATATGTGAGGTAGAAAATCATGCGCATTGCAGCAGCATTTCAATAATAACAGTTCTAAGAGATCGAAACCGGAGAAAATTGGTCGAATTTGGTTTTTTTCTAGATAGCGCTCAGCACAGGTGGCCTATAAGCAAGCTGGATGTCGGTTTTGGGACAAAAGTAAAGGGGATGTCATTTTTGCGGTCGGGAAAAAACACAAGTTAGGTTTTTTTTTCAGTCGAAGTTTCCGATTTCGGGTCAAAGGGACTTTTTTGCATATTTAGAAAGCCACCTAGCACCAAGCCCCGTTTCTAAAAAGGATGTCAAAAATTCGAAAGAACATTGCGGTAAAATCCGTAATAATCAGCATCAAAAATTTCATTGATTTATAAGCAAGCAGAGTTTGTGCCAAAGTCTAGTGGGGTTGATTTTCAAAAAAAACAAAGAAGAGTAAATTGAACACTGTGCTAAACTTTGGAACGGAGAGTAAAATAAGCTCTAATCTTTAATCTACTCAGATATGAACAATAGAAGGTCTTTCAGGCACTTTCCAAAATTGTACAAAGCGATAGAGCCTTTATATGAGCCTAATAAAATTCACCACTTTTCTTCACGATCATAATTTTTCATATCAGTTCATGCATGCTTTTCACCTCAATATACTGAGGCCAAATACTTGACAATCTTTGCAATTGCTAGTGGTGGTTATTGTTATCAGTGTTTGTCCTCCAAGGAACTCTGTTTCCAATTTTCAGTCCCATTGGCATTCTGTTAGCGGCGGTATCGGACTTTGTTCTCTGTAGTTGATAGTAGCACTCAAAACTACGACAAACTACTCTCTTTCGGTAATTCCATGAATCAACGAGCTAGTTGCTTTGTCTTGTCTTGATTAATGCATTTAACGAGCTAAGAAAGATACAGTCAGCCATTATGCCATTTTTGGCCTTCAAGCGCAATCAACTTGATTTCGAATTCAAACTATTCCCTCTGATGCCCCCCCACCCGAGAACGGGTCGCGAAATCCTTTGAAGTTACTCACATGATTTACAAACATGTCAAGTGACTCGTCCAGGCTTCTAAGTAATAAAATTTTGGAATTTTTAGAAGTTCAAATCCCTTTTAAATTTTTTTTTGCTATCACGCCCCTTTTTTTTCTGAAATCTCGGAGAATGAGACCGCGAAAATATTGGGAAGTACCCCAAGAACTTTTTGGAGTGCGTGGCTTACGCCACGCACCTTTTCGAAAATTGTTTCTCGCTCTCCCCCACACCGCTCACCCCCGAACGGAAATCCTGGATATTCCACTTTTTCCTCAGTATCTCAGCCAGGGCTCGGCACAGCTGGCACCGAGTCAAGCTGGATATCGTTGTTAGGACGGAAAGCAAAGGGGATATGGTTTTTCGGGGTCCGGGGCGGGGAACAACCGCAAGAATGCCGCCCCACCGGCATGATGTCCATCAAACAAACAAAAGCGTTGTTTTCAGCCAAAACGCAATAATATAACATCAAATTTGGTGTGTGCATGCGCGTTGGGGGACCCGAACTATGGCCGAAAAATTTATGAAAACTTATGTGAATGAAAGCTGTACTGAACTTTTTTCTGAATTAGCTGGCACCATGCCAGCTGGGTGCCAGCTGAGCTGGCACCGACACTTTGCTCACATAATTTCTACTTTTTCACATAAAATATATCTACACTGTAAAAGTTTACATACAGAGAAGAAACAATTTCATAATGTTTTCTTTTCAGCGTTTTATGGCCACCTGAAAATTACTCGGTCTGCTCCGCTGTCGAAATATCGGCTTTTTCTGCTTCTCAAGATGTGATTCAACCACTTAAAAAGCTCAGAAAGCTGCGAAAAGTCGTTCCTTGAGATCAGCATGCACGAAAACCCTATTACATACTTTTACGTAATCGAAAAATAATGACGTATCTTCAAAACAGGTCAAAGCGACTTTGTACGAAATGTCAAGATCAAACGGGACTTCGTTTTGAAATTTCCCTGATGCCAGCTCGTGCCGAGCCCTGCTGTTATACGTGTATCGGCCAGAAACTATTTATAAACTCTTGGTCAATCAAGAGGAGCAATAAAAGAAATTATCATCGTAAAAGAACCGAAGAGGGTCTAAAATTAAGAACCTTTTAAGGGAAGAAACGAAAAGGAATTTTCTCATTCTTCCTCACAGTTGTGCCTACCATGATAGCTCTGGCCAATTTCTGAAAGTATGAGAAAATATAGTAATTGCTGATTTCTCCTTTTCAAATAGGATTGGCAACTATGTAGAGTTAGAGAAAATATCCGAATTTATCTACTACAAACCTCTCCACTTTTTGCTACAAATTTCCGATCATACGCTCAACTAGATATTGGGGATGCACTATACTAGTCACAAATTTGTTCGCTCATATGAAAGTGATGTACCAAAGCAAGAGGAACCGGCAACAGTATTCGTACCTAGTGAGGCGTGCAAATCAACAAGCTCTCGCTTTCATTCTGACTGTACGATTATATGTGAGCATTACAAACTATCAATGCAATCCAATGGCAAGTGCGTATGGTCTTCTATCTGTCTCGTAGTCTTCTATTGCTTTACGGCTCAAACAAGATCAGAAACGCTAATGTGCGATAGAACTGGCAGCTGCCTCAGTTTTTCCAGTCATTATGCGTGTTTATGATAAGCAATGGCGTAGCTCTCGAGTCTCACATAAACTCTAGCACCAAGGAAGCTGCACTACCGTTATAGTTCTTAGACCCGAAACCGGATAGTGTAAAAACAAATGCAAAAAATTATCGTGAAATTTTGTATCTTGACAATTACATTCTAATTCTCAATTCTAACTTCACATCTGTTTTATTACAGATAAGACTGTGAGTCACGAACCCCCTTAGGTGTGGTTTCTTGGAGTATAGACAGGGTAAGCAGGGGTGGCGCTTTTACGTGCTGGATCTCGCGGTTTGAGAAAGAATCAAAAGGGAATCCGTAAAGCATCCAGAGGTGAGAAAATCTGACAAAATCTTTGCAAACGCAGTTTCGACTCTTACAATTAATAAGTCCAAATTTGAAGCTCCAAAGTCATTCACCAACTAGCTGAATCAACACCTTGCAAACGTGAACTGTGCATAAACCTGTGCGCACACGATTTCAACGTGTTTGAACACAATTTTTATCCAGAGGTAAATATCTGGCCCATACCTTCGATACATAGAGCCATGTACTCTGGTAACCTTCACTTTGAGCGTCATGATAGAACACAACCTTCACCTGGGAGAAGTACAGAAGTCATCCGGGGCGAAGCCCCGGAAATTATGACATAAAATGACATAACCGTATAGGGATGAAATCAAATGAGGCAAATATAGCAGTGACATTCAAAAGAAGCTCAAAAAAAACCGAAGGATTGCGTTTTTATGGCCTTTTTTGTTGAGAAGAAGGTTTTTATTCAAAAATTCAATCAAAAACTAGAGCAAAATTTCTCAATTAACCTTCCTCTGAGCTGCGGTTGAATGTTGGAAGTTCATTAAAGCCGCTAGAGTTCAATAAAAACGAAAAACTGCGCTCAAATCTTGCGCGAAGAGTCGCTATATGAATGCTGGTCTATCTCGTTATGGAGTGATTTTCAAGACCCGCGACATTGTCAGTGCTCCTGGCCGTCTCATGAGGATCACAACGATATATAATGTTGCAGGGTTTCGTTGTGACCCTGCGAAGATTCACGACCAGAGCCAAATGCCCCGTCGGCTCTGGTCTGTCTCCGCTGCTCGTCTGCGTCTCCGCGCGCTGCGCGCTACCTCGCTACCTCAAATGCGGGGCGCGGGGCATTTGGCTCTGGTACCCTTTTCTTCGTTGTTCGGAGCCCAATTTCGATAATCTATATATCGTATTAAAGCTCTTGATCTCTATTTTCACGCTGACAACGTCGCGGAACTTCTTTTTAGGATTCAAACGAGAAATCCTCGAAAAACGGCGTTTTCGAAAACCTCTTTTTTTCTTCAGTTTAACTTTTTTCACTCGGTTTTTTTGTGTATTCGATAGGTCTTGTTTCTGTCTATGATGTAGACAACGTCGCCGAGCTTACTTCTTTGCTTATGCCGGTTTTTTTTTATGAAAAATACAAAAAAGTGCGTTTTTCTTTACCTTGTTCTCTTTCTGTGCTTTTGCAGCGAATTTTTTCCAGTTTGGACGATACTTGCTCAGAATGATGAGCCGAAGAATCCAGACAATGTCGCAGCGTACGAAACGACTATGCGGGGGTGAAAATTCAAAGGACGCATCAAAAATCACATTGGCGTCGATGTGCAACACAACTTTACAGACATGTTTAACATGTTCAATTCAGTTGTTGACAAGTTCTTCTTCTTTCGGTTTCCCAACTAACGCCACAGCTAAACAGCGCTTTTTTTGACTGGAAAAGAACTTTGCTGTTG